TCCAATATCCTGTTACATCATCAACTTACTTTCCCCTCTCATTTCTCTTTTAGACTCTGGGAAGTCAGCATCTCCACTGGATCTTTCCCTGTCATCATCCCAAAAGCCCCCTTTTTAACCGATGAATGAGTTAACAAAATGGTACCTACGAAAAAAGACCAAAGCCAGCCTGACAAGCGAGCAAAGTGTTTTAATCAAGAGTTCCCCCCGTCCCACGAAAAATGGGTAGGTCAAGATTACAGTATTCAGACGGGAACACTTCCGGTAGGCTACATGACAATTGGCACAACTCGACAACTTGGCGATTGGTGGGAACAGGAACCATGTGTGGTGATTAACATCCCAAACAGTGACATTCATGTGTATGAAGTTGCACGTGAGTCGTACCTCGCATAGAAACGTGATGCTCCCTTCAACACCAGACAAAGTGGTACCTGGCATAGACACGTGTTGCTCCCTCCAACACTAGACAAAGTCGTACATCGCATAGAATCGTGTTGCTCCCTTCAGCACTAGACAAAGTCGTACATCGCATAGAAACGTGTTGCTCCCTTCAACACTAGACAAAGTTGTACATCGCATAGAAACGCGATGCTCCCTTCAACACTAGACAAAGTCGTAACTCGCATAGACACGTGTTGCTCCCTTCAACACCAGACAAAGTTGTACCTCGCATAGACACGTGTTGCTCCCTTCAACACCAGACAAAGTGGTACCTCGCATAGACACGTGTTGCTCCCTTCACCACTAGACAAAGTCGTACATCGCATAGAAACGTGTTGCTCCCTTCAACACCAGACAAAGTGGTACCTCGCATAGAAAAGTGTTGCTCGCTTCAACACCAGACAAAGTCGTACCTCGCATAGAAACGTGTTGCTCCCTTCAACACCAGACAAAGTGGTACCTCGCATAGACACGTGTTGCTCCCTTCAACACTAGACAAAGTCGTACATCGCATAGAAACGTGTTGCTCCCTTCAACACTAGACAAAGTCGTACCTCGCATAGACACGTGTTGCTCCTTTCAACACAAGACAAAGTCGTACCTCGCATAGAAACGTGTTGCCCCCTTCAACACCAGACAAAGTGGTACCTCGCATAGAAACATGTTGCTCCCTTCAACACCAGACAAAGTCGTACCTCGCAAAGAAACGTGTTGCTCCCTTCAACACCAGACAAACTGGTACCTCGCATAAACACATGTTGCTCCCTTCAACACCAGACAAAGTTGTACCTCGAATAGAAACGTGTTGCTCCCTTCAACACTAGACAAAGTCGTACATCGCATAGAAACGGGTTGCTCCCTTCAACACCAGACAAAGTCGTACCGCGCATAGACACGTGTTGCTCCTTTCAACACCAGACAAAGTCGTACCTCGCATAAAAACGTGTTGCTCCCTTCAACACCAGACAAAGTCATACCTCGCATAGACACGTGTTGCTCCCTTCAACACCAGACAAAGTCGTACCTCGAATAGAAACGTGTTGCTCCCTTCAACACTAGACAAAGTCGTCCCTCGCATAGAAACGTGTTGCTCCCTTCAACACTAGACAAAGTCGTACATCGCATAGAAACGTGTTGCTCCCTTCAACACTAGACAAAGTCGTACCTCGCATAGACACGTGTTGCTCCTTTCAACACCAGACAAAGTCGTACCTCGCATAAAAACGTGTTGCTCCCTTCAACACCAGACAAAATCGTACCTCGCATAGGAAAGTGTTCCTCCCTTCAACAACAGACAAAGTCGTACCTCGCATAGACAAGTGTTGCTTCCTTCAACACCAGACAAAGTCGTACCTCGCAAAGAAACGTGTTGCTCCCTTCAACACCAGACAAACTGGTACCTCGCATAAACACATGTTGCTCCCTTCAACACCAGACAAAGTTGTACCTCGAATAGAAACGTGTTGCTCCCTTCAACACCAGACAAACTGGTACCTCGCATAAACACATGTTGCTCCCTTCAACACCAGACAAAGTTGTACCTAGCATAGACACGTGTTGCTCCCTTCAACACTAGACAAAGTCGTACATCGCATAGAAACGCGATGCTCCCTTCAACACCAGACAAAGTGGTACCTCGCATAGAAAAGTGTTGCTCGCTTCAACACCAGACAAAGTCGTACCTCGCATAGAAAAGTGTTGCTCCCTTCAACAACAGACAAAGTCGTACCTCGCATAGAAACGTGTTGCCCCCTTCAACACCAGACAAAGTGGTACCTCGCATAGACACGTGTTGCTCCCTCAACACTAGACAAAGTCGTACCTCGCATAGACACGTGTTGCTCCTTTCAACACCAGACAAAGTCGGACCTCGCATAGACACGTGTTGCTCCTTTCAACACAAGACAAAGTCGTACCTCGCATAAAAACATGTTTCTCCCTTCAACACCATTCAAGTGAACGCCCCCTCCTTACGGCGTCTAAACGTGTTGCTCCCTTCAACACCAGACAAAGGGGTACCTCGCATAGAAAAGTGTTGCTCGCTTCAACACCAGACAAAGTCGTTCCTCGCATAGAAACGTGTTGCTCCCTTCAACACTAGACAAAGTCGTACCTCGCATAGACACGTGTTGCTCCTTTCAACACAAGACAAAGTCGTACCTCGCATAGAAACGTGTTGCCCCCTTCAACACCAGACAAAGTGGTACCTCGCATAGAAACATGTTGCTCCCTTCAACACCAGACAAAGTTGTACCTAGCATAGACACGTGTTGCTCCCTTCAACACTAGACAAAGTCGTAACTCGCATAGACACGTGTTGCTCCCTTCAACACTAGACAAAGTCGTACATCGCATAGAAACGCGATGCTCCCTTCAACACCAGACAAAGTGGTACCTCGCATAGAAAAGTGTTGCTCGCTTCAACACCAGACAAAGTCGTACCTCGCATAGACACGTGTTGCTCCTTTCAACACCAGACAAAGTCGTACCTCGCATAAAAACATGTTGCTCCCTTCAACACCATTCAAGTGAACGCCCCCTCCTTACGGCGTCTGTGGCGCAAGGGCACACAAAACAAACGGACGATTTGTGTAGTACAGACTTCAATATCTCGTCTTCCTCTTCAGACTCCGACACGGAGACCAATCTACCACCCCTTTGTCGCACGAGACGGTCCACGAGATGCATGATAAAGGAAACAACCCCTGCACATACTGTATGATGTCATCAGCTCACAATGAACCGATGCCCCATTTCATTGAAAGTTCTGTAAACGTGTTTATAAAATACTTTCATGTGTATCATTCATTATTGTTTACATCAATATAGCATCAGTTTGTTTGGATCAACGTGCTAGACAGGTGTGAATTTGCCAAACCGTTCAGTTCATTTGATCAGATACTCTATTGTTTGCAAAACCATATAATATTGGTGAAATAACATAACTGTTTTCTATGGACTGTCTGTTTAGGCCCCTTTTAAAATATGTTGGGTGTCGTATAAGTGAGTTTATATTCACTGGTGTGAATAAGATCACCTTAACCAACTCTCATTCTGGACTCCCGGAATCGAGATATCCACTAGAATATTACTAGTCATCATCGAGTGATCCTTTAAACTGTTCACAATTGTTCATTCGTCATATAATTGTGCCTTTGTGCGTTCTTTATCGTTCTGGTCAACGTCCTGCCAAGTATTAATTGTGTTTATTTGTGTATTTCAGGTTTTTACAGAGGAACAAAAGGACTTTTAACAAAATAATTGTTCGTTCTATTTTTCTTACGAGCTGAGCCCAAACGTTTAATTGAATTATAGGGATAATTGTTGATTCGGTCGATCTTCCATGCAATTGAATTGAGTTAGTCTTCAGACAATTCAAATAATATACTTCGCTTTAAATTAATTCTCCCTCAAGAAAACTCGGTACATGTCGAAATGAAATTAGGCGTGCCTTAAATGATTTAATATACATGTGTATTAAGACCTGATAATACAATTGGTCAAACACGGACTGTGGCAGAAAAATGAAAAAAATACCAAATTCCATTTATATGTTTTTATTATAAAACTTTTCTACAATATTAAATTCAAATTTGTTTTGAACACAAACAGTAATTGAAAACTTATTTTGCGAGCGTTCGAAAACGTCTGTTTCCTTTGACAAGCGAAGAGTGTAAATGGCCGGTGTCTCGACTCTAAACCGCTGAAAACAACTTAATCCGAATTTATTCATTCCACCTCTTTCCTCCTGTCCCATATGAAGTCTAGATCTTTGATTTTCCTTACTTTCCAGTTGTCCACTAAGTTGAGAAATGGATAAACAAATTTCCAATAATTGTGACTGCCTGCAATATTAGAGTGCTATTTTGCGAAATGTTTCGAGTTTCTTTCCGCGGTTTGGATTCGAGACACCGCTCATGTGCATTCTTTATTTGAAAAAAGAAACAGATATGTTCAAAAGCTCGCAGATTTAGTTTTTAATTGCAATTTGTGTATAAAACAACTTAGCATTTATCATATTTACCCAAACAAATGAATCTCATTCCGAATACCCTACAATAAACGTTCTTGTGAAGTTGCATCCTCCATAGCCTGACCGACAAACTTATAACATGATAGTGTCGTGTCTAAGACACGTGATTACAGGAGTAGCTAGTGTAGCACTGGGCGACATCACTAGCGGTGCGGACACGACCACACAATACGGACAATCTCGACCCAGTTTGCAGAAACATTAACAGACACTAGATTAACCAAGGAAGTAAAAGTTCTGTGTATCACGTCAGCCCGTTGTAGATTTTGTTGAGGATTTGCGTGTTGAAGGAGATAGCGTTACACCAGGTGTAGTTGGCTTTGATGTGGATGCTGATGTGGATGCTGGTCCAGCGCGTCTCATACCGGAAACTAGGCGCGGATTGTACATTATACCGTTAGCAATCAGTTGAGCCATATATGCATTTGGAACCTGCAAAAATAGTAAACCATATTTTAAAATTAAGATATATCACATTTAAAACATGTAAATGCGAAATATTCATATAAAATGTTTGAAAGACATTGTAAGAATTACTTCACGAAAAAACTTTTATATGATTTAGTCTGTTGTACTTTTTCCCGTTTTTAATGTATTATAAATACAATATTGTTTACTCAAAATACTAGTTTTAATAGGAAGAGTACTACATGTTACTGCACACTACCTTGAGATCCAACCCTTCCATTTCACTGAACCTGTTTCCGGCAGCATTTCTGTAAGTAAGGGATAGATATACATTAAACAATATGATAGGGACAAGCTACTATTCCGGTACACAAAACTATGTCATATTACAGACGGATAGACATTTCTGTAATAGAATGCTTGTGACACTTTTAGGTATTTGAGGGAATTGCCGAACATCAAGAACATTATTTTATCAACCGGTGATTGAGGGCCTGAATTATCAACCGGTGACTGAGACCCTTAAGTATCAACCGGTGACTTAGGGCCTGAACTACCAACCGGTGACTGAGGCCCTGAACTATCAACAGGTGATTGAGGCCCTGAACTATCAACCGGTGACTGAGGCCCTTAACTATCAACAGGTGGGTGAGGCCCTGAACTGTCAACAGGTGACTGAGACCCTGAACTATCAACCGGTGACTGAGGCCCTGAACTATCAACAGGTGATTGAGGCCCTGAACTATCAACCGGTGACTGAGGCCCTTAACTATCAACAGGTGGGTGAGGCCCTGAACTGTCAACAGGTGACTGAGACCCTGAACTATCAACCGGTGACTGAGGCCCTGAACTATCAACAGGTGACTGAGGGCCTGAACTATCAACCGGTGTCTAAGGGCCTGAACTATCAACCGTGACTGAGGCCCTGAACTTTCAACAAGTGACTGAGGCCCTGAACTGTCAACCGGTGACTGAGGCCCTGAACTATCAACCGGTGAGTCAGGCCCTTAACTATCAACAGGTGACTGAGGGCCTGAACTATCAACCGGTGACTGAGGGCCTGAACTATCAACAGGGGACTGAGGGCCTGAACTATCAACCGGTGACTGAGGTCCTGAACTATCAACCGGTGACCGAGGGCCTGAACTATCAACCGGTGACTGAGGCCCTGAACTATCAACCGGTGAGTCAGGCCCTTAACTATCAACAGGTGACTGAGGGCCTGAACTATCAACCGGTGACTGTAATTGTAACAATAAAATACGCTAAGGATTTGATGTCCTGAATATCAGTGATATAGTTCGATACCTACCTTGTCCTGAAGGTCAGTGTTGAGATGGTGAGGTTAGTGATGTCAGTTATTGGGCCGAGGTCAGCCCACTGACTGTTGGCTCCGTACACTTGTGGCACGAGACCTGGATACTGGACATCTGTTAATATCACACTCTTGTTCTTTGCGTCAAAAGGATCATAGAACTGGGGGTCAACACTACAATTAACAGTATTTCATATGCATTATCCATATACAGGTTATAGTCCATATACAGGTTATAGTTCATATACAGGTTATAGTCCATATACAGGTTATAGTCCATATACAGGTTATAGCTCATATACAGGTCTATAGTCCATATACAGGTTATAGTCCATATACAGGTTTATAGTCCATATACAGGTTATAGTCCATATACAGGTTTACAGTCCATATACAGGTTATAGCTCATATACGGGGATTAAAATTCCATAACCACAACATAAAGATGGCGCAGACCAANTTATAGTCCATATACAGGTTTATAGTCCATATACAGGTTATAGTCCATATACAGGTAATAGCTCATATACAGGTTTATAGTCCATATACAGGTTATAGCTCATATACAGGTTTATAGTCCATATACAGGTTATAGTCCATATACAGGTTTATAGTCCATATACAGGTTATAGTCCATATACAGGTTATAGTCCATATACAGGTTTATAGTCCATATACAGGTTATAGTCCATATACAGGTTATAGTCCATAAACAGGTTTATAGTCCATATACAGGTTATAGTCCATATACAGGTTATAGCTCATATACAGGTTTATAGTCCATATACAGGTTATAGTCCATATACAGGTTTATAGTTCATATACAGGTTATAGTCCATATACAGGTTATAGTCCATATACAGGTTTATAGTCCATATACAGGTTATAGTTCATATACAGGTTATAGTCCATAAACAGGTTTATAGTCCATATACAGGTTATAGTCCATATACAGGTTTATAGTCCATATACAGGTTATAGCTCATATACGGAGATTAAAATTCCATAACCACAACATAAAGATGGCGCAGACCAAGAATAAAAAAGTTGAATAAATGAAAAAGCAATTTTGACGTTATTAAACAAAATTATATAACAAATCCGGTCCCGTTTGCGCAATACGGCCATTGCTTTATAAAGTTTCTTTGCTTTTAAGAAAACCGTTTGATTGTGTAAGACTAACGTCTACTGCAAGGATTGGCTATACAATTCAAAGATAGGACTAAAACTTTACTTACTGAACACCAGGTGGCGGTATACGATGCAGTATTGCATAAGCTTCCAGCCGTCTCAGTTCCTTGTGTCCGACAATGCTGGCGAATCTGACCCAATCATCGTTCTGGGCCTTCAGATTTGGCGGGACAAAGGGCATAGATTTGTTGAAACGTCCCACATAGGAGGACTCCCAATCTGCCTTGTGCCATGCGCGCTCGGCGAAGGCTAGTAACCGTGGAAACATCAGTCCAAACAGGTGTTCCTCGTTACGAATTTTGGACGTCAGAATATGTGCTTGCATACCTAGAAGGGGAATGACGTTGTTTCAATAATGTGATTTGGAGTTTAGATGCATTTTTTTGCTAAATGAAATATGTTCGTATACTTAAATCGGCAGCGGGTGTAATACGACATTTCACCACCACGAATATGTATCGTAAACGAAAACAGAAATGTTGACCCCGCGAATTTCAAGCGCTTTACAGTATGTAACGTATCTTTACATACATATTTTTTTATGAATCACGTGTTTTAAAGTGCGCAGATATCTGTGATACAGGTAAAAAAGGTATGTCCAGTGATACTCTACAAGGTATGAATAGGTCTAGAAGGTATGAATAGTTCTAGAAGGTATGAATAGGTCTAGAAGTGATACATAAATGTACATCGTTAAACACACGAGGGATTAGATCGTTCTCTTAAAGAGCGCGGCTATTACTTTGACAACCTTTCAGTAAGTTTCAGACAAATGCCAGAGCTAGATGATAATAGGCTAAGAAGAGTTTATAAGATTCATTTGATGAAGACAATGTGCAACTATCGCGTTTTGTGCACTTAATGAGTATTGAGAGTCGTTAAAACGTGCGCCAAGCGCGCTCGGCGATGGCTGTAGTAAATGTGGAAACATGGTATTTTGGGTCATTTTTGAGGTGTATGGGTGATTCATAGTGCTGGTAAATCGCTATGTTAAAACTTTGACGGTTTACACATTGACAAACATGTTACAAGAGGGAAGTAAGGGAATACACAAGGACGAACACCAGCTCGACCATATTCTCAGTAAACCCGCCTTGTATTTGTTTTATCTTTGTTGTATATATATACAGTCCTGGAACTTGTGTAGTACCTACCTGTAATATTACCCGGGTAGTCCAGTGGTACACAGTCATCCGTATCAATGCAACCGTTGGGAGTAAACTTTCCATATCTAAACTCGTCAGGGTTTAGGTTGCAGCAGCGATTATCTGGCAGGTAGTTGAACACCCTTGTGGCTTGTATGTGGCGTATCGCCCAGTACGCCCCAGGAATCTGTGGATCGGGTTCAGGAGCGTGGTCCAAACTCACATAATCAGCAGGGGACAGTATTACCTTCAAACAAAGGGCGTGGTTCGTATTAGCGCTTTCTTCAATGTGTTCAAAATTAGAAAAACAAACATAGGTGAAAAATTAATAATGTTTGTTGTTTCTATTATATTTTAATGATTTATTGTTTTTGATTTTGTCCTTGATGACCTAGTATACATGTATAAATTTGATTAAAATCAAGTTTGAAATGATTGTTCTCATACATAAGTTTATGTTATCGAAGAGAATAAGGGCCAAGTGAAGTTTATAATGGTTTATTTTTTCCGTGTCACTAACTTGAGACTTCGAGAATTTGACTCGAAATTTTGACCTTTTAGGGAAATCGTAGAAACATAGAAATACTAGCTCAAATATCAAGACACTTACCCGAGATTTGGACAAGTCTATACTTTCAAGTAATTCTTATATGTGATTTCTACAGCATCACTCGAGATGAACGAAACACATTAGGAGCACATTACAATTGAAGACAGGAAAAACTTTTTAATTTGAACTAGTAAATGTAAATCGGTTTCTGGTATCTTAGTCGAAATTTCGTGATAACATTCAAAATCTCTACTGGGTAACAAGAAAATAGAAAAAAATGGAAAAATTAAATAAATAATTAACTGAAAGATCAAAAGTAAAAACTGCTTAAATTGGACTTTATACTCTTTCTCGTACAATGCACACATTGGAAATACGTCCTTTTAATAAAACAAACTTATTTGTTGCAGTATCCTGAATCAAGCCTACCTTATAGCCAACATTGGCCATCACCTGGGCTCTCTGGAACGTCATTGGATCAAAAGAGTTGGTCAAAACAGGGTAGAGGTCGATGTTGCCAGGGAAACGCGTGCGACTGAACGGGACGAGAATTCCGCCTCTCTCGTCGTTGGTTGGCCATGCACTAAAGAAATCTTCGACACCTCCCATGTTTACACCAAATGAGGACGATATGTTAGCCAGGCGTGTTGTGTAGTTTACCTTCATGAACATAAATGGGTCCGGTCCGGTCAGATTCAGTGAATTACAATAAGAGGAGTTCATCCTGGTAGCGGCTGGGACATCATGTCCTCCAACATTGATCAATGTCAGTGGAGATTTCGCCCTGGCATGGTACCCGATCATGGTTTTTAAGATTTTGGTATAGAAGGCGTCCACCGTTGGTATACACGGATTGATGACGGCGTCACTGTATAGGTCTTCTGTCATGTAATGTACGTCATCTGCCGGGTCAAAAATCCTCATACTTTCGTCACCTGTTCTGTTTTCATAAGCTTTCATAGATACGATCGCGGCTCGTGCTTTTCCACCAAAATTTATCCAAGGAATAACTTCAATGTGTCGTCTTTTGGCGGCTTTTAATATGTCCATGTAATCTTTCTCAGAGTAAAATCCAGAACCGAAAGTCGTATTATCAGGTCCAGAGCCATACTGGCTGAACAGACAAGTTGTCTCATTCAAATCGTGACAGCGCCGTCCTCCAATCTGACGTAAAGAAAACTTGATTATCATACAATGTACTTATCGCCATAGATCAGACGCAGTAAAATGTTGAACAAAAGTACTCGTGGACGAACAACTGTATACACATTTATTTTCTCCGTTCGTATTGACTAAATATCTTTCGAAAGCAAAAAAAAATTATACCAGTTTTCAACATAACACTGCCCATCACATGAACTAATAATAAAAAACACCCGATGTTCATGCGATATATCAGAATGCTGCGTGAATAAAAATGATATTGTTCAACTGTACCTGTGCCAGCTCGGGAATGTCCGGTACCTCGATACGCCAGCCTTCGTTGTTTGCAAGCTTAAGCTGGAGCTTGTTCAGCTTGTATAACGCCATTACATTCAATAGTTTGATGACCGTGGATTTGGGGAAGAAGTTACTCGCCACATCCAACATCACTCCTCTGTACGGAAATCGTGGCTCGTCCATGATTTCCATCTCCTGGACAGTTCCGTCGAATGCCAGAAGACTGAAGAGGGTTTGGATGCCGTTGAATACTCCATGAACGGTGTTTCCGCCGATCTCGATCCTAGGGGGTTTGGTCTTCACTCGAATGAGATAACGCTCCGGACTCTCAGTGGCAGGCCTATTTCTCCGAACATACAGTTGAATGACGTCCTTGCTGCCACGTTTCTTGTTCCTGATGCTGATTCCACTGATGGATTCTACATCAGAAAGGGTAAAATATTGTAATTATTAAATCTATGTATTACAAATGTACAAATATAAACACCTATACATCCATGAATCCATCCGTGCTTTGTTCTGTATGATGTATCTATATCATGGTCTACATACACACCACTTTGGACTATAATGTTTTATGTTAAGACAGGTACACACGATGGGTAAGTTATTTGTGAAGGATGCTGATAGTTCTCCGTCATAAACAATTACCACTATGCTATATCAAGGTGTTATGAAACTAGCAGTTGTAGTAATAATTAATTATCAAAAGTGGTAATATTGTATGACAAAAGTACGTATGAATTTAGAACGTTATAAGTTATCTGGTCAAATTAATTCTTTTCATGCATTTACAAATTCCTTCTACAGTTAACTCATACCAAAGCGGTCATCCCCAAGTGCCGTACACAAACTGAATATAAGCTATTCAAGATACGATCTTTTAGACGAATGTTATGACGTCTATAAACCGATCAGAGACGTGCATATTTCAGCTTTGTCTGTCTCTGATACCGATATACCATAGCAGTTCCGCTCAGTCTGCACAGTTACGTTGAAATAACAGGTATCGTTCAACTATCTGTAACAATAGTTCTCGCATCATTACTGTTTCGCTGAGTATAATGTCAATAAACCAGTATTCAACAATGTTGGACACTTCAGCGATTTCTTTACGCAGTGTTAAGCGTCACTTAGATATCGTCTTCGTAATGACAATCACATCTAATGATACTGTACCATCGCGTTAATGGCGTGACAATCACATCTAATGATACTGTACCATCGCGCTAATGGCGTGACAATCAACATCTAATGATACTGTACCATCGCGTTAATGGCGTGAAAATCACATCTAATGATACTGTACCATCGCGTTAATGGAGTGACAATCACATCTAATGATACTGTACCATCGCGTTAATGGCGTGGCAATCACATCTAATGATACTGTACTATCGCGTTAATGGCGTGACAATCACATCTAATGATACTGTACCATCGCGTTAATGGCGTGACAATCACATCTAATGACAATGTATCATCGCGTTAATGGCGTGACAATCACATCTATTGATACTGTACCATCGCGTTAATGGCGACACAATCACATCTAATGATACTATACAATCGCGTTAATGGCGTGACAATCACATCTAATGACACTGTACCATCGCGTTAATGGCGTGACAATCACATCTAATGATACTGTACCTTCGCGTTAATGGCGTGACAATCCCATCTAATGATACTGTACAATCGCGTTAATGGCGTACCAATCACATCTAATGATACTGTACCATCGCGTTAATCATGCTATGTACGTACGTTCAATGGTGTGGTTAATATAGTGAAAATGCAACGCCATTGTAATTATAACATATTGATAATTCCGTAAAAGAAAACGCAGTTAATAGTTATAATTCAATAATAGAGAACCTGAGTACTGATAATCCTTCCTAAATAGAGAACCTGAGTACTGATAATCCTTCCTAAATAGAGAACCCAGGTACTATTTATCAGCCTGTAATAGAGAACCCAGGTATTATTATTCGGCCTGTAATAGAGAACCCAGGTACTATTTATCAGCCTGTAATAGAGAACCCAGGTATTATTAATCAGCCTGTAATAGAGAACCCAGGTACTATTTATCAGCCTGTAATAGAGAACCCAGGTATTATTATTCGGCCTGTAATAGAGAACCCAGGTACTATTAATCAGCCTGTAATAGAGAACCCAGGTATTATTAATCAGCCTGTAATAGAGAACCCAGGTACTATTAATCAGCCTGTAATAGAGAACCCAGGTACTATTAATCAGCCTGTAATAGAGAACCCAGGTACTATTAATCAGCCTGTAATAGAGAACCCAGGTACTATTAATCAGCCTGTAATAGAGAACCCAGGTACTATTAATCAGCCTGTAATAGAGAACCCAGGTACTATTAATCAGCCTGTAATAGAGAACCCAGGTACTATTAATCAGCCTGTAATAGAGAACCCAGGTACTATTAATCAGCCTGTAATAGAGAACCCAGGTACTATTAATCAGCCTGTAATAGAGAACCCAGGTACTATTAATCAGCCTGTAATAGAGAACCCAGGTACTATTAATCAGCCTGTAATAGAGAACCCAGGTACTATTAATCAGCCTGTAATAGAGAACCCAGGTACTATTAATCAGCCTGTAATAGAGAACCCAGGTACTATTAATCAGCCTGTAATAGAGAACCCAGGTACTATTAATCAGCCTGTAATAGAGAACCCAGGTACTATTAATCAGCCTGTAATAGAGAACCCAGGTACTATTAATCAGCCTGTAATAGAGAACCCAGGTACTATTAATCAGCCTGTAATAGAGAACCCAGGTACTATTAATCAGCCTGTAATAGAGAACCCAGGTACTATTAATCAGCCTGTAATAGAGAACCCAGGTACTATTAATCAGCCTGTAATAGAGAACCCAGGTACTATTAATCAGCCTGTAATAGAGAACCCAGGTACTATTAATCAGCCTGTAATAGAGAACCCAGGTACTATTAATCAGCCTGTAATAGAGAACCCAGGTACTATTAATCAGCCTGTAATAGAGAACCCAGGTACTATTAATCAGCCTGTAATAGAGAACCCAGGTACTATTAATCAGCCTGTAATAGAGAACCCAGGTACTATTAATCAGCCTGTAATAGAGAACCCAGGTACTATTAATCAGCCTGTAATAGAGAACCCAGGTACTATTAATCAGCCTGTAATAGAGAACCCAGGTTCTATTAATCTGCCTGTAATAGAGAACCCAGGTACTATTAATCAGCCTGTAATAGAGAACCCAGGTATTATTAATTAGCCTGTAATAGAGAACCCAGGTATTATTAATTAGCCTGTAATAGAGAACCCAGGTATTATTATTCGGCCTGTAATAGAGAACCCAGGTACTATTAATCAGCCTGTAATAGAGAACCCAGGTACTATTAATCAGCCTGTAATCGAGAACCTGATTACGTTGCCTACATTTAGGAATACCCTGACGACTTACTTTTGAGATAGGTCGCCACACCGGCCAGACGTCCGTCCCGGTCCCGGTCTATAGACCACATGTTGTTAACAGTAACCTTTCCGGGTTTTAATCGTTGTTCTAGAGGGGTGGGGATGACGGAATATTTTGTGGCGTTGACCGCTGTAAAGTTGTATCCAGTGTATCTGTTCCACAGCCCAAGAGGAGTTCCGTACAAATCTGTGGGTACGCTCCTCATCCATTTCAGAAAAGTGTTATGTGGAGTGACGAAAAAGGGGACATCACCCTGGGTATTCTGTATGACGGCGGTATGCGTGTCGTTAGAGAGGTACCAGTTTGGGTATACATCGTATCTACTAACGGCAGTGTTGGAGGAGAGGAAGGACACGTTTCGGATTTCCCCAGGATACAGGGGTTGTGATATATACGCTGGATTTTTACCTACATATGGCTGAAACTTAAACATGCAACCTTTAACATGTGTGAGGGTTATATTCCCTGATAAAATAAGCCCCCCTCCGAAGTACTGTGCGTTGGTCGTGTTGTAATACAGAGGCTGGATCAGTGGGTTGTGACAGAAAAATATGCTCCATCCAGACGCTGGGATAGGACTTGTCCCGAAGTTAGCTATGGAAATGTTTGCCAGGAAAGAGTTTCCATACACCGGACTTGGCGGGTTGTGACGGTCTACGTCATATGTGATGGCTAGATCCTTAGCCAACTTCTCTACGTCAACTGAAAGCACGAAAGCTGCAACAAGAAAGATAACTCGTATTAGAGTGTAGGTTAGATTTCGTTGTTTGTATAGACACTATTTCATCAAATGGTTGTATGCACTGGCCTTTAATACCAGTATAAAATAATCATGTGAAAATGGCGCCTAATCTAAATCGATGTTAATGAGCAATACACATGTCTTTTTAAGTCAATTTTATAGTAATGGATTAGACACAGGCATTGCTTATAAACGCCCTTTCTAGATTAGAATTAAGGCATGGATTTTAAATATTAATATACATTGCACTATAAATCACTTTCTCTTTAATCCGTTTAATGAACTTAATCATTGTAGAAAATATTTCGTTTTTGTTAGGCGTTATATAGGAAAAGTCCATTTCTATATAATTGAAACAGTCTCGAAATAACAGTAATTGTTAAAGGTATAACAATGATAATACATTTCAGTCTGATTTAGATAAACCAGAACAAATGTATAACAATGATAATACGTTTCAGTATGATTTAGATAAACCAGAACAAAGGTGTAACAATGATAATACATTTCAGTCTGATAAACCAGAACAAAGGTATAACAATGATAATACGTTTCAGTCTGATTTAGATAAACCAGAACAAAGGTATAACAATGATAATACATTTCAGTCTGATAAACCAGAACAAAGAACTGTCAGTCATGAGATTTACAGGAAATCAGACGATACTGGTAAAAAACGTGACGCTTCATATTTGCCCAATTCTGAAATACTGCGTTAAGTCAGATTTCGAATGGTTTCGATAAATACTACGTATAAACCCAATATTTAAAAAAAACCTTGATAGTAAAGATTTCAGCCAAAAATTTCTGTTATAATCGAAATTGTTTAAACTATTTCATAACAATTAAGTGTGAGTGCCTGACATGTTTTGGTGTGAAGGTCAACGGGATGAAATACGTGTAAAATGTCAAGTTATAATTATATACGGTTGATATCTTCCTGTCTGCTCATGTTTTTTCTCTACTGTATTTGATATGAACTTATAACTGAAAAAAACTGAAGTTGATTGAGATAAAGTACTTGTACATTAAAACACTGTGGATCATTTACTCTGTCGGCCACGGGCCAACCACTCTGTCGGCCAGGGAAAGTGCGTCATTTTCTTGCTATTCGCCTATGCAATGTCTCCAGACTTTGTTTCTATGTAAAACAGTTTGTTTACTTGGACCGATTAGTCAATCAAATTAGTGACAATGCAAAAAGAAAGTGATGTTTATGACATGCAATCTGTTTGGTTGAAATATAGGTCTGGGGAAACCAAACATATTAATTATTCTGTCCGGTCGAAGTGGACCGATGACAGGCCGAGGCGTGTCGCCTTGGGCACTTCGTGGTCTACCGAGTCTCGTTAGGTTGTCATAAACAGCAGGAAAATAAGCATAACATTGTAACCACGTGGAAGGAGTAGATGGACGCGTGTTAAATGGTCACAGTATAATTGCTTGCGGCAACTGAAGGAAACATGTTGTAGAACTACCATTTCGTGATGTCGTTAGACAAAAAACACAAGTTTCAACATTTCACATTTTTTATCATTACAACAGAATTAATTTTATAAATAAACGCAACATTTGTTTAAATGTCATTTCCGGATAGCGAGAAATACACACTCAGCACTTTTTTCTTAGCGTGACGTCTTCATGCGACAGAGCGACGGACTGTATAGCTAGGTTGTAAGGTCGGAGAAGTTCAGAAACAGTACATGTAAAGTATCTACCTATATATGTGTACGATCCACAATTACCTGTGAAGTATCTACCTATATATATGTACGATCCACAACTACATGTAAAGTATCTCCCTATATATGTGTACGATCCACAATTCCCTGTGAAGTATATACCTATATATATTTACGATCCACAACTACATGTAAAGTATCTTCCTATATATGTGTACGATCCACAATCACTTGTGAAGTATCTACCTATATATATGAACGATCCACAACTACATGTAAAGGATCTACCTTTATATATGTACGATCCACAATTACATGAAAAGTATCTACCTATATATATATATGATCCACAAACACGTGAAAAGTATATACATATATATATGCACGATACACAACTACATGTAAAATATCTACTTATATTTATGTACGATCCACAACTACATGTAAAGTATCTACCTATATCTATGTACGATCCACAACTACATGTAAAGTATCTACCTATATATATGTACGATCCACAATTACATGTAAAGTATCTACCTATATATATGTATGATCCACAACCACATGTAAAGTATCTACCTATATATATGTACGATCCACAATTACATGTAAAGTATCTACCTATATATATGTATGATCCACAACCACATGTAAAGTATCTACCTATATATAGGTACGATCCACAATCACATGTAAAGTATCTACCTATATATATGAACGATCGACAACTACATGTAAAATATCTACCTATATTTATGTACGATCCACAACTACATGTAAAGTATCTACCTATATATATGTACGATCCACAACTACATGTAAAGTATCTACCTATATATATGTACGATCCACAACCACATGTAAAGTATCTACCTATATATATGTATGATCCACAATCACATGTAAAGTATCTACATATATATATGTACGATCCACAATTACATGTAAAGTATCTACCTATATATATATGTACGATCCACAATCACATGTAAAGTATCTACCTATATGTATGTACGATCTACAATTACATGTAAAACATGTGTTATAGAAGCCCTACATGTCCGGGAGGAGGAGATAAGATGTGTTATAGAGGCCCTACATGTCCGGGAGGAGGAGAGAAGATGTGTTATAGAGGCCCTACATGTCCGGGAGGAGGAGAGAAGATGTGTTATAGAGGCCCTACATGTCCGGGAGGAGGAGAGAAGATGTGTTATAGAGGCCCTACATGTCCGGGAGGAGGAGAGAAGATGTGTTATAGAGGCCCTACATGTCCGGGAGGAGGAGAGAAGATGTGTTATAGAGGCCCTACATGTCCGGGAGGAGGAGAGAAGATGTGTTATAGAGGCCCTACATGTCCGGGAGGAGGAGAGAAGATGTGTTATAGAGGCCCTACATGTCCGGGAGGAGGAGAGAAGATGTGTTATAGAGGCCCTACATGTCCGGGAGGAGGAGAGAAGATGTGTTATAGAGGCCCTACATGTCCGGGAGGAGGAGAGAAGATGTGTTATAGAGGCCCTACATGTCCGGGAGGAGGAGAGAAGATGTGTTATAGAGGCCCTACATGTCCGGGAGGAGGAGAGAAGATGTGTTATAGAGGCCCTACATGTCCGGGAGGAGGAGAGAAGATGTGTTATAGAGGCCCTACATGTCCGGGAGGAGGAGAGAAGATGTGTTATAGCGGCCCTACATGTCCGGGAGGAGGAGAGAAGATGTGTTATAGAGGCCCTACATGTCCGGGAGGACGAGAGAAGTTGATCTGAGTTTTCTACTTAGTGGACATTAAACACATAATCTACTGCCACCATTGGAACGATTGGGGTCTGTACATCTTTTCAACTTTCTCCAAACTGCTCGTGCCGTTTTGATGACAGGCGAAAGCGCCGCCAGACCACACCCTCATTCAATTTTTGAGGATGTACAAATCATATATTTCAGAACAATATTTTTATGTACTATGCTCAGTAATTATTTAATCTAGTCATTCATCAGCCCTATAAGTAAGTCGGGAAAAAAAGAAATTTATTTCTGAAGGTTCGAATGTTCGTAATGAAAATCTGCATCTTCATGTAGGGTCGAATGTTCGAAACGAAACTCTAAATATTAAATGAAAAAACCTAATTGTTGACTATAAGTTATTGGGTGTCTTTTAAGTGTTTTTTTTTGATTGGTGAGGTCGAATGTCGTTATCAAAAATCTTAAGTATTTATAACGTAGGGTTGAATGTCCGAAAACGATTTTCATATAGAGAGTACGATTTTATTTTGATTTTGACTGCAAGTTTTATTCGTTATCGCTTTTGCTTTGAATGAAAAAGTACTGGGAATCATTGTTGATCCCGTGACGGCACGACTGATTGATGTAAACGCTTGACGTAACCGTTACAGATAATCATTTATGATAAATACTACAAGAATAAAGGTGATTATGACTATTTATATGTAGTTACGTCACATCGGTCACACGTTGTATGTGTGTGATGTCATTAGTCTAGAAGCAGTGACGGACTGTCATTGTACCTGTCAGACCTTTCTTAAAACAGAACTGCTAAGCGTTCGATTACAAATCTAGATGAGTTGTAACTTTCATTGTTCCTGTCAAACTTTCATTGTTCTAACAACGGAGCCGCTTCGCGATCGATTAGAGATATTTAAAACGTTTATGTCGGTTTCGAGTTGGCATGTTGTTGCTGTCGCACACTTTTTACGATTACAGAATCATTGTTTACAAAAAAATGTCCTCCAATATAATCCAACCCTCTGCCCTATATATGGATTATTCCTCCTCCAATCCAAACATCTGCTCTACGTATGGATAATTCCTTCTCTAATTAAACCCTCTGCTCTATGTATGGATAATTCCTCTTCCAATTCAACCCTCCGCTCTATGCATGGATAATTCCTCTTTCAATTCAACCCTCTGCTCTATGCATGGATAATTCCTCCTTTAATCAAACCCTCTGCTCTATGTATGGATAATTCCTCCTTTAATCAAACCCTCTGCTCTATGTATGGATAATTTCTCCTTTAATCAAACCCTCTGCTCTATGTATGGATAATTCCTCCTCTAATTCAACCCTCTGCTCTATGTATGGATAATTCCTCCTCTTATTCAAACATCTGCTCTATGTATGGATAATTCCTCCTCTAATTCAACCCTCTGCTCTATGTATGGATAATTCCTCCTCTTATTCAAACATCTGCTCTATGTATGGATAATTCCTCCTCTAATTCAACCCTCTGCTCTATGCATGGATAATTCCTTCTCTTATTCAAACATCTGCTCTATGTATGGATAATACCTCCTCTAATTCAACCCTCTGCTCTATGCATAGATAATTCCTCCTCTAATTCAACCCTCTGCTCTATATATGGATAATTACTCCTCTAATTCAACCCTCTGCTCTATGCATAGATAATTCCTTCTGTAATACAACCTACTGCTCTATGTATGGAAATTACCTCCTCTTATTCAAACATCTCTCCCTATGCAGAGATATATTCCTATAACCCCCCCACCCCCTATTCAACTATTTATTCTCTCTTTGTATGGATATTGCCTCCCCTTATTCAACCATTTCACTCCATGTAAGGATATTGCCTACCCCAAATCAACCATCTCTCTTTACGTACGGATATTACCACCCCTAATGTAACCATCTATCTCTTTGTATACGGAAATTGCCTCCCCTTATTCAACTATCTCTCCTTATGTACGATTATTGCCTCCCCTTATTCAACAATTCCGCTAAGTAAGTATTCATACTTAGTGTAATAATGTTGTCACCTTTTCCTTTTACTACTTTGTACATTGTATGCATATTAATATTGGTAAGTGGTACATTGTATGTATATTAATATTGGTAAGTGGTACATTGTATGCATATTAATATTGGTAAGTGGTACATTGTATGCAGACAAATTTCAGTGTTATATCAAATTCGCCTAAGAAAGATCATATACGACAAAGCATTATAAACAAATACCAAAGCGTGAAACACTATAATATATACCACTGTCATATAATAACAGGAAAACATATATACTACTGTCATATAATAACAGGGAAAAATGTATACCACTGTCATATAATAACAGGAAAACATATATACTACTGTCATATAATAACAGGAAAAACCCGGAACCTAAAGAGGATAGGGAAAATCAGGAGCAGGGATGGATAATTTGGTAAACTCTCCTGTGTTCCGCAGGAGCAATCGTTTCCTGCAATACAGGTGACGCCCGAATAAAATATTTTAAATATTCCAACTTACCGACATGAAATGCCAAACAAAGAAGGGGGATATATGACTTGACCATCGTGGTCAGCTTCTGGTCTGGCCGGAATGGCGGACGGAGTGATCGAGTGGACGTACCGGTCAGCGTTAAATACGTCCAGTTGATGGCTTGACCCCAAATGCTGGTGCGTCACATTGTCTTGTTTTCTTTGACAGCTCCATAAATAAATAATGCGCCGGGCGGACAACTGACCATCAAACCATCAGTGACGTCATCAGACGGTCCGCGGTCCCAGGTTACCTGTCCAGTACCGGTCAACTCCAGCTTTGTATGCATGGTGAACGTAAGAGAAGGACATCAGCAATGTATAAAAACGCACAACTACGTATACGACAGACTGTCTTTTGAAATACGCACTTTGTGGACTTGCGATGACGTTACTGAGAACCATTATCTAGTGACCTTGGTTATTATTAGACATTGTATATATACAGTGTATATTGACTGTGTAATTAGTGCAAGGGAATCTCCGTAAATGGAACTAATGTAATGTATAGATGTTTATTAAGATATTATTGTATAGCTTATTAATCCAGGTGGTTGTAAAGGCGGGATGGATGGGTGGGAAGGGGGTGGGGGTCGATTGGTGATTGTTGATGATGATGTGTGCGAGCTAGTGTGCTGACGCCAACATAAAAAAAAATCTTCTTACCAACAATATTAAGGATTGTTTCATGCATTAACTAGACGTGCGATTTTGATGCAAGAACATCAGGTGGGGTCGATTATTTGACATCGATAGATTTCCACCCTTCTCATATATATCATCATTGGTGGTGGCACTTTTACCGAGAGTCGATCTCAACCCTTAAACGTGTACCATTACTCTGAACACCTTAGTTTAGGTCCAAATATAGCTGTAATAAACTCTCATGTCCCTTCGGTACGTATAAGTCAACTGCATGAACGTAAACCCACCCCCTCCAAAGAACCAACAAGATTAATCTCGGTACATTTGAGAAGGTGTGGATGGAGTGGGAGTGAAGGGATGTAGCTTATAGTAATAACTTAGCTGAGGTGTACCTTATACATCAAGGTACCTGTGAATCAGGAGTGGGTTCATGTAGAAAGTAATAAGTTATGATGTATACAATATATGTGACGTGTAGTCCTTTACTGTTATATGTATTATATGACCGGTCCTCCTTTACTGTTATATGTATTATATGACTGGTACTCCTTTACTGTTATATGTATTATATGACTGGTACACCTTTACTGTTATATGTATTATATGACTGGTAGTCCTTTACTGCTATATGTATTATATGACCGGTACTCCTTTACTGTTATATGTATTATATGACTGGTACTCCTTTACTGTTATATGTATTATATGACTGGTAGTCCTTTACTGTTATATGTATTATATGACTGGTAGTCCTTTACTGTTATATGTATTATATGACTGGTAGTCCTTTACTGTTATATGTATTATATGACTGGTAGTCCTTTACTGTTATATGTATTATATGACTGGTAGTCCTTTACTGTTATATGTATTATATGACTGGTAGTCCTTTACTGTTATATGTATTATATGACTGGTAGTCCTTTACTGTTATATGTATTATATGACTGGTAGTCCTTTACTGTTATATGTATTATATGACTGGTAGTCCTTTACTGTTATATGTATTATATGACTGGTAGTCCTTTACTGTTATATGTATTATATGACTGGTAGTCCTTTACTGTTATATGTATTATATGACTGGTAGTCCTTTACTGTTATATGTATTATATGACTGGTAGTCCTTTACTGTTATATGTATTATATGACTGGTAGTCCTTTACTGTTATATGTATTATATGACTGGTAGTCCTTTACTGTTATATGTATTATATGACTGGTAGTCCTTTACTGTTATATGTATTATATGACTGGTAGTCCTTTACTGTTATATGTATTATATGACTGGTAGTCCTTTACTGTTATATGTATTATATGACTGGTAGTCCTTTACTGTTATATGTATTATATGACTGGTAGTCCTTTACTGTTATATGTATTATATGACTGGTAGTCCTTTACTGTTATATGTATTATATGACTGGTAGTCCTTTACTGTTATATGTATTATATGACTGGTAGTCCTTTACTGTTATATGTATTATATGACTGGTAGTCCTTTACTGTTATATGTATTATATGACTGGTAGTCCTTTACTGTTATATGTATTATATGACTGGTAGTCCTTTACTGTTATATGTATTATATGACTGGTAGTCCTTTACTGTTATATGTATTATATGACTGGTAGTCCTTTACTGTTATATGTATTATATGACTGGTAGTCCTTTACTGTTATATGTATTATATGACTGGTAGTCCTTTACTGTTATATGTATTATATGACTGGTAGTCCTTTACTGTTATATGTATTATATGACTGGTAGTCCTTTACTGTTATATGTATTATATGACTGGTAGTCCTTTACTGTTATATGTATTATATGACTGGTAGTCCTTTACTGTTATATGTATTATATGACTGGTAGTCCTTTACTGTTATATGTATTATATGACTGGTAGTCCTTTACTGTTATATGTATTATATGACTGGTAGTCCTTTACTGTTATATGTATTATATGACTGGTAGTCCTTTACTGTTATATGTATTATATGACTGGTAGTCCTTTACTGTTATATGTATTATATGACTGGTAGTCCTTTACTGTTATATGTATTATATGACTGGTAGTCCTTTACTGTTATATGTATTATATGACTGGTAGTCCTTTACTGTTATATGTATTATATGACTGGTAGTCCTTTACTGTTATATGTATTATATGACTGGTAGTCCTTTACTGTTATATGTATTATATGACTGGTAGTCCTTTACTGTTATATGTATTATATGACTGGTAGTCCTTTACTGTTATATGTATTATATGACTGGTAGTCCTTTACTGTTATATGTATTATATGACTGGTAGTCCTTTACTGTTATATGTATTATATGACTGGTAGTCCTTTACTGTTATATGTATTATATGACTGGTAGTCCTTTACTGTTATATGTATTATATGACTGGTAGTCCTTTACTGTTATATGTATTATATGACTGGTAGTCCTTTACTGTTATATGTATTATATGACTGGTAGTCCTTTACTGTTATATGTATTATATGACTGGTAGTCCTTTACTGTTATATGTATTATATGACTGGTAGTCCTTTACTGTTATATGTATTATATGACTGGTAGTCCTTTACTGTTATATGTATTATATGACTGGTAGTCCTTTACTGTTATATGTATTATATGACTGGTAGTCCTTTACTGTTATATGTATTATATGACTGGTAGTCCTTTACTGTTATATGTATTATATGACTGGTAGTCCTTTACTGTTATATGTATTATATGACTGGTAGTCCTTTACTGTTATATGTATTATATGACTGGTAGTCCTTTACTGTTATATGTATTATATGACTGGTACTCCTTTACTGTTATATATATTATATGACTGGTAGTCCTTAACTGTTACATGTATTATATGACTGGTACACCTTTACTGTTATATGTATTATATGACTGGTAGTCCTTTACTGTTATATGTATTATATGACCGGTACTGCTTTACTGTTATATATATTATATGACTGGTAGTCCTTAACTGTTACATGTATTATATGACTGGTACACCTTTACTGTTATATGTATTATATGACTGGTAGTCCTTTACTGTTATATGTATTATATGACCGGTACTGCTTTACTGTTATATATATTATATGACTGGTAGTCCTTAACTGTTACATGTATTATATGACTGGTACACCTTTACTGTTATATGTATTATATGACTGGTAGTCCTTTACTGTTATATGTATTATATGACCGGTACTGCTTTACTGTTATATATATTATATGACTGGTAGTCCTTAACTGTTACATGTATTATATGACTGGTACACCTTTACTGTTATATGTATTATATGACTGGTAGTCCTTTACTGTTATATGTATTATATGACCGGTACTGCTTTACTGTTATATATATTATATGACTGGTAGTCCTTAACTGTAACATGTATTATATGACTGGTACTCCTTTACTGTTATATGTATTATATAACAGTAAAGGACTACCAGTCATATAACAGTAAAGGAATACCAGTCACATAATAAATATAACAGGAAAGGACTACCAGTCATATATATATGACCGGTACTGCTTTACTGTTATATATATTATATAACTGGTAGTCCTTAACTGTAACATTTATTATATGACTGGTACACCTTTACTGTTATATATATTACATGACTGGTAGTCCTTGACTGTTACATGTATTATATGACTGGTTGTCCTTTATTGTTATTTGTATTATATGACTGGTAGTCCTTTACTGTTATATGTATTATGTGACTGGTATTCCTTTACTGTTATATGTATTATATGACCGGTACTCCTTTACTGTTATATGTATTATGTGACTGGTACTCCTTTACTGTTATATGTATTATATGAACGGTACTCCTTTACTGTTATATGTATTATATGACTGGTAGTCCTTTCCTGTTATATGTATTATATGACCGGTACTCCTTTACTGTAATATGTATTATATGACTGGTACTACTTTACTGTTATATGTATTATAGGACTGGTAGTCCTTTACTGTTATGTGTATTATATGAGGTGTACTCCTTTACTGTTAAATGTATTATATGACTGGTAGTCCTTTCCTGTTATATGTATTATATGAGGTGTAGTCCTTTACTGTTGTATGTATTATATGACTGGTAGTCATTTACTGTTATATGTATTATATGAGGTGTACTCCTTTACTGTTAAATGTATTATATGACTGGTAGTCATTTACTGTTATATGTATTATATGACCGGTACTCCTTTACTGTTATATGTACTATATGACTAGTAGTCCTTTACTGTTATATGTATTATATGACTGGTAGTCCTTTATTGCTATATGTATTATATGACCGGTACTCCTTTACTGTTATATGTATTATATGACTGGTAGTCCTTTACTGTTATATATATTATATGACCGGTACTCCTTTACTGTTATATGTATTATATGACTGGTAGTCCTTTATTGTTATATGTATTATATGACCGGTACTCCTTTACTGTTATATGTATTATATGACTGGTAGTCCTTTACTGTTATATGTATTACATGACTAATACTCCTTTACTGTTATATGTATTACTAACAATCAATCAAGTAGATATGTATTAACCAACATAATATCTATTGTCCATCAATCAAGTAAGAGTATCTTAATTAACATGCAGTAGACCGTCATCCAATCTAGGAGATAATTAAGAATGAAAACGAGCTCTCGATCAGCACACACTGTTTAATGTAATTGATATACAAAACAAATATTGAAGAACGCAGATAGGAGTTAGGTCATACATTTAAGAATTGCTGTTTTACACATGAGGTAGTGTTATATAAGTTTGAAACTTCACTTAGTTTTTGTCTATCCTGTTGAAGGATTGACATCGCTTTGACTATTCATTCCTTGACGTGAACTGGGTTCCAGAAGATTTGTTCCCTGTCCAGATCTAGAATGTGAGGTTATGAGAGTACCCATGTCTATTTGGCCAGTATCAACTTGTCCTGGAGCTGTTCTGTTTTTTCCAGTAGTCGAACGATTTTGGGACTGGCGAGCTTTGGATGCTGCGAGCATTTGTACATGTAGTTGCCTTTCCCATCGATATTGTTCCACGATCGCTATTTGTAATTGCTGTTGTGCTAGCAGCATTGGCTTTCGTTCCAAGAAAGTTAAGAAACCAGTTTTATTAAAATACCTTCCGAAGTCAGTGTCGTAAAACAAAGGGAGGTCATCTGTGATCGTGAAGGAAAAACGTCCCGTAGGGTCGGCAGCATGCCCGAACATTAACTGAATAGGGAAAGTCAAGGCCGGGCTTCTTGTGAAATTGTACATAATAGCTTCATGCTCACTTGCATATGGATCAGGATGCTTAGGAAAAGGGAAACAGAGACTGTCATCACGCAACAACCTCATCAACAGTTATATCAATAGAAATATTTCACACAATAACACTAAATGAAATCAATTAGTTGATGAATGACATCAGTGCAATAAAATCTAATAACATGTGTGTATATGTATTACATGAATGCAGAATAATAATGAAATTGGGTTTCGTATACATAAGATTGATTCATTAAAATAATCAAAATATGTATCAGACTGATCAGTATAAACACTATCATCTTTAACATTTTATATGTCTAACAACGTTAATATACCACTATCAAGTGTATAACATGTCATCAAATATACCTACAATTTGTAACATCGTTATATAGCTTTAACATTGTTAAGTATATAAATATAACATTATTAAATGTATGAAAAATGTTCGTTTGTGTAATTTATACTTACTTTGTGTAATTTATACTTACTTTGTGTAATTAATACTTACTTTGTGTAATTTATACTTACTTTGTGTAATTTATACTTACTTTGTATAATTAATACTTTGTGTAATTTATACTTACTTTGTGTAATTAATACTTACTTTGTATAATTTATACTTACTTTGTGTAATTAATACTTACTTTGTGTAATTTATACTTACTTTGT